AGCGTCCCTGATCACAGGTGTGGAGGTACATGCAGCCTGTGTGACAAGGTTCACACAGTGTGGGCCACAGTGGACAAAGGTGGCCAATGGTTGCTCTCTTCTAATCTGAGCTTGTAACCCTGACAGGTGCCCCGACATGTTGGCTGCTCCATCATAGGTCTGTCCACGTAGACCTGAGAAAGGGAGGTCTAAACGGAGCAGCACATCAGAGGCAATTTTAAAAAGGTGTTCGCCAGTTGTTGAAGAAGCCTCGTACAGTCCAACAAACTCCTCCTTAGGCTCCAGGCCATCATCAACATACCGGAGGCATATTGAAACCTGTTCAGTGCCAGATATATCCTGGGTCCCATCCATTATTAGAGAGAACTGCAGTACAGGTAACCCATGGATTTCAGTTGTTATTTGTCTGATAAGGTTGTTGCTCATTAACATCAGCAGCTCATTTTGACACGCAGGACTTGTGTAGGAATGATACTTCTGCAGCCAGCTTGCCAGATTGGGGTCATTCTCAGCCTTCTCATCCAGATGCTGCTTGAAGTTTCCGTCATCATTGTCATGACCTCTGAGAGCTAGGCCCTGTTTAGCAAGGTACCTCACTGAACTAACAATTTCTATCAGTGCTGACCTGGCCTTCTCTTGTGCACTTTCTGAGATGCTGCATAGTTGCATTCTGACTGACCTGTGTGTGTGCGTGTGTGTGTTGACAGCAATTATGTGTGCCCCACTACCAGCGTGCCTGTCAAATGACTCCCTAGCCTTCTTCCAGTTTCTGAACCCCTGAGAAATAAAGGTATGTTCAGTTTTTTTTGCCATTGTTGAAATGTTCTTTTTAAAAGCAGTTGTGCAGTAGAAGCACAAAACTCCTTTTATTTCAGGACTGTAATGGAGCCAGGGGAAGATTTTGAACCAGCTCTCCTGGAAGTGAAGAGTGCGGTTCGGCAGAGTTTGTGGCTCAATGAGCTGTGCTGCTGGTTGGTATGGGGAACTTGGACCCTCAGCTGTATGGATCTCCTGGTTTGCATGTGGAGGGTTATCCTGCTTCCCGAGATCAGTAGCTGATGGCTCGACCTATAATGTAATTATTCAGTTGTCATTAGTTTCTTTACATAGTTCTCAGAAATGTTTTGATTCTACACTGTTCTCCAATTGGTCTACTATTGCCATGATGTTATATACACAACTTACTTTTCTGTTTGTATTTTAGTAGTAATTGTAGTGTTGTAGATCTGTTGTTTTAATCAAATCTGTTTTCCTTCCACATTTTTGTACAAGTTGAACCAATGCAAAGCCCTGCAGATGGATAAATCTTGCATATGTTTGCTTCCTGAACCCTCACCTGCTGAATCTGATCTGAGCTTGTTTCAACACTCTCCATTTCTTCATCCAGTGATTGCACTTGCTGTAAGAGTATACCAAAGTTGGTTTCATATTTACTGTAAGGTTATATGATTTTCTGTTGATGTGAATTTCACCTCTGCATTCTCAGCTGCCTGTTCCTGCGTGTCTTCATTTTCCTCTGTCACATGCTGTTCCTGATAGAAAAAGGGTATTCAAATAAACATTACAACTTGTGGGATTTGATTTTTTTTTTAATTTGCAATGCAGCATAGACTTTGACTTAATTATCTTTGGTTTTGTTGGAAAAGTTTAGGTTCTTTGGGTGTCCATTATTTGACATCCAAAAATGAGACACATTCCTGAAGCACTGAACTTGTGTGTTGTTTACTTGAAGAAAGCTTTTGACTTTAAAATGTGCTGGTTCTTTGTGGTTAGAAAATATAAATAACTTCAGCTAGGCTAATAAGTCAAAAAGTGGAAAAAAAATATCTGTGGAAATAACTTAACGGTTTAAAAAAAGATACCCTGAAACAAATTGGTCAGTCATATGGGACAAAAATCTGATGCACTAAGACACATGTGACTCTAGGGGGTGCTGATTCCTACTGAACAAATGTAGTGCTATTTTGTAGTATCAATGCCATCAAAATCTGATTTAAGGTTAACACAGTTTTGCAAGGCTATGAAAGGGCTTGTTAAGGTCATGTAAGGGGTTCGGGTCATGCTGTTGGAATCTCACTTTTACACCCCCAAACTACTCTGAGACTTATTCATTTACTCACTTCAACCTAAAAATGTATCCTTCTAATACTTTTTAGTTATGGATGGGTCATTTCACATAATAGGACCATTTGCTAGATGGGGACCTAGTTGGAATTAGTTAAACAGCACCACTCAGTAACAGGTGCATCTCCTGGATGTTAGGCTACTGCAACCGTTCAGAACCATCCACTTGAGCAGGTCGGGAGTATATCACGGCTGTGCTGTTGTATTTATGTATTGTAAGATGAAGTCTTCTGAAAACGATGAAAACCTAGACATTTTATCAGTTTATGAAATCTTCCCAGATGCCCCGCCCTAATGGCACATAAAAAGCAAAAATGTCACGGAAAAAGAGTTTTGGTCACCTAGCATAAACTGGATGGTTTTTAACCGTTATTGCTGCTAGCTAACTGTTACCAGTAGAGAAACTTGCCCTCTTTTATCTACTACTAAGTAAGTCAATATTAAATGATAAAACTGGATATCTTAGTCTTTTTTGTAGGGATGCACTTACAGCACATTTTTTCTTGCCGAAAAACCACCTGATATCGGTTGCATTCTTTCTTTTCGACATGGTTGACGGACACCTACTTTTCACCTTCTTCACTTTAAAAAAAATCAATCCGGTAGTTCACGGACAGCTAGGTTGTGGGAGCGTGGAGTTGACCAGTGAGTGGAGCCTGATAAAGATGAGTATTTTTCTCTGAAAATCTAATTTGATAGTCACAAATAATATAACAAGGATATATATATATATATATATATATATATATATATATATATATATATATATATATATATATATATAAAATACACGATCTTTTTTGCTAGGCTAGCTACATGGATGTAAAGATTCCACCTTGCTTACAGGCTAATGGGGGGTTTTAGTGACGTTGGAAAAACAAAACAGGATTTTAAATAACTGTCAATACACTACTGTGCATATTGGAGTGAAACATTAAAAACTAATGAATACTTAAATATGCTAGCCTATTTAATGATTGTCCCCAGCAATTTTTAAACCCCAATCAAGTGTATGGTTATTGTCCCCAGCAATTCTAAAAACAAACTGACGCCCTTGGGTGACACTTTACAATAAGGTACACAAAATTGTGCTTCGTTACTAGGAGACGACTTAGGAGGTAATGAGTAATGAAGCAAGAAAGAATATGGAAGTTAACCAGTAGTTCCTGGTGAAAACGCTCATCAGTCTTGTTTCATTGTGTAATACGTAGTTAGTCAATACTTGCTGGTAAACACCCAGCAGTCTTATTAAGAGACTAATAGGTAGTTATCTATTTGTGCTTTGTTACTAGAGAACGTCCTTCCCCTTATTCGTCTCCTTGTGTTCCTCATGTGCCTCATTGTGTTCCCCAACCCCTCCAGGTGTCCCTGTTACCGAAGCATCCAGAGCCACCGTGTACAGGCGTGTGCAGGAAATGGGCTACAGGTGTCTCATTCCCCAGGTCAAGCCACTTTTGAACCAGAAACAGCAGCAGAAGCGCCTGACCTGGTCTACAGAGAAGCAGCACTGGACTGTTGCTCAGTACTTTTTCGGATGAAAGCAAATTTTGCACGTCATTCGGAAATCAAGGTGCCAGAGTTTGGAGGAAGACTGGGCAGAGGGAAATGCCAAAAAGCCTGAAGTCCAGTGTCAAGTACCCACAGTCAGTGATGGTCTGGGGTGCCGTGTCAGCTGCTGGTGTTGGTCCGCTGTGTTTTATCAAGGGCAGGGTCAATGCAGCTAGCTATCAGGAGATTTTGGAGCACTTCATGCTTCCATCTGCTGAAAAGCTTTATGGAGATGAAGATTGCATTTTTCAGCACGACCTGGCACCTGCTCACAGTTCCAAAACCACTGGTAAATGGTTTACTGACCATGGTATTACTGTACTCAATTGGCCTGCCAACTCTCCTGACCTGAACCCCGTAGAGAATCTGTGGGATATTGTGAAGAGAAAGTTGGGAGACGCAAGACCCAACACTCTGGATGAGCTTAAGGCCGCTATCGAAGCATCCTGGGCCTCCATAACACCTCAGCAGTGCCACAGGCTGATGGCCTCCATGCCACGCCACATTGAAGCAGACATTCCTGCAAAAGGATCCCCGACCAAGTATTGAGTGCATAACTGAACATAATTATTTTTAAGGTTGACCTTTTTTGTATTAAACACACTTTTCTTTTATTGGTCGGATGAAATATGCAAACATTTATGAGATAGGAATTTTGGGTTTTTATGCCAAAATCATCAATATTAGAAACAATAAAAGGCTTGAACTACTTCAATTGTGTGTAATGAATCTAATATGAAAGTCTAATGTTTATCAGTACATTACAGAAAATAATGAACTTCATCACAATATGTCTTTGGTATGTTCTGTGTCTAGTTTCCAATTCGATTTTTAGTTCTTTTTAAAACACAAGAAAGGTTTTCTCTTTACTTTGCTCTGTGCGCGTTAGTTTTCGATAAGTGTTTATGTTTAGGGTCCCGTCGGTCTGCCTGGTTATTTTCATGTCCATAAATGCTATACTGCCAGACGGCAGTATAGCAGCCCGGCGGGATCCTAAACATAAACACATTTAGAAAACCAACACACACACAGAGCAAGGGAAAGAGAAACCCTTTCCTGTGTTTTAACAAGAACCAAAATGGAATTTCTCACAATATGCTAATTTTTTCAGAAGGACCTGCGCGCGCACACACACACACACACATTAAATATTGTGTACCTGTTTAACATATGGCATAAACCTCTCTTGATTCTAAAATCTGTTCCCATCTCATCCACACTCAACAGCCAGTGCACAAAGAGCACCAAATTTTTAAAGGATTTTGTAGATCCGATGAGAAAAACCCCAAATACAGAAAAAGTACAAGAAACAAAGCAGCACACAACCCTTCTGCCACAGCTTTTTATTAAACAGTAGAAAAAGATAAGTTACTGTTGGCAGAATAAATGTAAACAGTGCATTTCACTATTTCTTTTTATTTCCAAGCATATAAAAGACTAGAAAAAATACACACACAAAAAACCTATTCAGTTGACACGTCAGACCACATCATATGGGGTACTGTATAGAAGCTAACTATGTAAAGAGTTACCTTTAAAACAAATACAGAGTTTGGCGACATGTGAACTAATCTTCCTTGTGTAAGTGTGGTCATGCATTTAGATTCTAAATACATAAGTTCTGACTCCACATGTAAAAGTGTTGTATTACCCAGAAGGCACTGGGGAAGCTCAAACGTCGTGATTAGGAGGAAGAAAATAGTTCACTCAAACGTCATAAAGAAGGAAAACCACCAAATTCCCCATCACTGAATCTAACTGGCAAAACTAATTACGAGGAAAACACGTCAGACCAACTTTGGCTTAGAACAAGACAACCAGAACCCACCACAATCCAACACTTTAAACTGCAATCATACTTAAAAAAGAGGAAGTGAGATGTCAGGATGAGCTGCTGCCTTCTCTAAAGATCCGATTTGTAAACAGAACTAGGTTCTAAGCTGGTTCTCAACATCCAAGTTTGGCTGGTATTCATACAAATACACAATAAATAATTATATATAAAAGATACCCATCACCACGTTCCACTGCTTACAACAGCAGCATCACTTGTCTGGCTGTATTATTCCCACCAAGAGTGTCAGTGACAAAACATGTATTAATAATAATGTTTGCTAAGAGCAACAGTTCATCTCACTCAGACTTCTGTGGCCGTTTCTTTGGCAGCGGGTTGAAACTGGACTTCAACGTCTTTTGTGTTCTTTTAACTGAGAGGCACAAAAAGGTTAGCTTATAGGCAGCTCTTGACCGACCATGGCCATCCCATCTTCCTTCAACTCTGCAATGGATGGAAAAAGAAGTGGCTGCCTGTCCCGTCATCTTCTTATTCATTTTTCAAACTTGCACCATTCTTCTGTTCCCTCAGCTTCCTCCTCTGCAGGTATCCTGTTCGCTGCAGGCGGTTCATCCGAGCTCCAAGGAAGATAACGATGCTGCTTGGAACCAGCCTGGTGGTCACCCAGCCCTGTCATCAAATAAGCAGGCTTTGTTAGAGACAATTGTTCTTGTAAACATGCCATTTTCAAGAATGTTTCTGGAAATGCTTAGATTTCCGGCGTGTCTTTTTCTTACCATGATGGCGTGGGGGAAGTAGCCATTTGTCTGAGACTGCAGACCCACCGTGTTGAGTTCAGCTGCTACGTAACGCTCTGGGGTGGGCTTATCCAGGGTGGGCTTCCGGATACGAGTCATTTTGGTGACCACAAAGAAGGGCAGCACACTCTGCACAAAGTTAGATTAGTCATGTCAGATTTTTTTTATCACAAGTTTACTTTAATAGAAAATTCAAACATCACTGAACACTTTAGTCATAAGGTGAATCATTTAAAAAAGGTGTTGAAAACACCAATCAGGCCGCAGGAAAATGTGTTGTTTTTTAAATAAATGACAGTGTGTGTCTGCAACTGTTTGGATCACATCTATCCATGAAAGACTGCCATACTTTATTGGTCCTTTACAGCTGAACCAGCGGTTCCCAGTATTCAGACCACTATAAGATTAATTCATAAAAATGGACCTTAGATGAGAAATGTAACGATAATTTTCAGAATCGTATTAATGCAGCAGTTGTTGAAAATATATATCATGCAAATATGTGTGTGCAACATTAGATTTTTATTTGAGACAATTTGGCAATCATATTGCACAAAAATGACAGAAATGGGAAAAAAAAGCACCAATGATTTCCTGAGCTTGGATTGCAACACAAAAATATGTGAGCCCATTAAAATATAATCAATTCTATAAAGTGTTACTGATGATGGAGGATATGAATGCTCAGGAGACGAGATTTAAACTCACCTGGATGATGATGCCCTGACGTCTGTACTCCTCCTGAAGGCCACGAGAGAAGAAATCCACAAAGGCCTGCACACAGATGGACAGAGCATGGTCAAATAGAAAGAGTGTTAACACAAAGTGAACTGATGATAAAGAGATGATCTTTTATAGAAGTCCTTTATTTTATTAGGCACAAACCTTAGTTGCAGAGTAAACTGTCAGCAGAGGGACGGGGTACATGCCACTGGCAGATGAGATGTTGAGAATAACACCTTTAGACCTGTTGGGGGGGGGGGGGGGGGGGGCACAACATGGAATTTCAGTAAGAAAACAAAGCTAAATAAATAAATAACCCTTTCTACTTAACAATAAAAAATATACATTTTCTTCACATTCTGACTTAAAAGAAATTACCACAGCAAAATCCACACAAAGTGGTACAGCTCTGGCCCTCTAAAACAGTGGTTGTGTGCGTTGCCATGGCAACCTGTTGCTGCAGTGATGTAGTGAAGACACTCCAGCCTCACAAGGCACCAAATGTGCCTATGATACTATTGGCCAGCTGAAGTCACATGGGAAAACAGCAGCCAATCGGGTGGGAAGAGCACTTTGTGTGAATTGAAAGCTCGTCAGTAATGCGAAGAAAAGGAGAAGGAAAAGAGACGCAGTGATGGAAACTGTTCAGGGAGCATTTCTTCTCCCATTTCTCAATGAAGAGCAGCATTTCCCAAACAAACACTTAAAAAAAAAAGGATTAAGTTTCATTTTGCTGATTTGTTGTTCAGCTCTGTGTCGTGCAGATCATGAGAGACGTCGTCTCACTCACCTATCGACCATTCTGGGCAGCACAAGGCGAGTCATCTGGGAAGGACAACATCACAAAGCTTAGTCTGTGATAACAGTAGCACACAAACAACCACAAAACAGGGATGGGGGTGGAGGGGTGTGTGTGTGTGTGGGGGGGGGGGGGGGCTAAAAGTAGCTGGGCTAAAGAGAGACGAGCAGAAAGCAGCAGAGAGAAACAGTTGTGTGGGTGGTGATTACAGACAGCGTTGGTGTAGTCCACCGTTGCTTTGGGAACAACCGAGACACTGCAGGTACCACAGTAGGAACAACAGCAGAGAAGGAGAAACGGGGAAGACAAAAAAAGAGGGGGAGAGTGTGAATGCCACAGGTCGGCTTCAAAAAAACTTCCAGATTTAACCAACTCACTTGGCACACGGAGGTCATGTTGACATTGATGGTATTTGTGATGAACTGAAACACAGACATCACCAGTTACACCAGTTTCATTTGAAAGAAAAGCAGAGATCTCATCTAAATCCTTCTCAGATGGACAACTCACGTGTTCAAGATCAGGAATGTGAAGGTAGTACTCAGGGTAGGGATAGGAAACACCAACGTTGTTAACTGTGGAGAATAAAACATGAGAAAGGACCCAAGAAGGAGCTGCTAACCTGTGGTATTAATAATAGATCAGCTTCGACTCTTCTAAATGTGCACCACAAGGTGGCAGAAAAAGCAAACCTGCTAGACACAGGCCTTTACTAAACACCAGTCAGCCACACCTCACAACCAGTAGAGCTCAACCCGCATCATACAAGGAACAAAGAGTTCCTCAACTGTTCAGCCCAAACACGAACTACTGGCTCCAAACCTCTATAGGCTGACACAAACATCTGGAATGTCTACACATCAGCAAACGCACAACCTCAACGAAGATACATGTAAAAAACTGCATAAAGCCTCAGATTTACAGTAGGATGGACTGAAGGAGGAATCACTAAAGCCATAAAGATTCATAATCAGCTGCTGTAACGAGCCCTAAAAATCCACCTGTGATCACCTTGGTTCAGATCATTTCTCTCTGCAAGATGATGACTCATGAGAAACGTAAAACTTTTTCATAGAAAAAGTTTTAATCAATAAAGGTTTGTTTTTGCCCATTTATTTTACTGAAGCAGACAGATCATTGCATTTAACCCCCAGAGACCCACGGTTGTAATATTACAACATCAGATTTAAGTCTACAAAAATAAACCTTCCCCATTTTTTTTTCTTTTTAAAACCACATTGACATTGCTAATAGGTCCTATTGTTCAGTTCTGCAACACTATTGGCTGTTAAAATGTGTGAATATGCCCGTTTATCTGGCCTCCTAGAACAACATGTGAAAGGTTAAAAAAAAGATTTTGCAGTTGTTTTCTAAATTTGGGTCTCTGGGGGTTAAACATATTTTCTGGCTTTTAAGGCTGATGCAGATGTCCAATCATCGTACCAACTTTAGCCAATTTAAAGGTGAAGCAGATTCTGGAGGTAAAAACTCCCACAGCGAAGATCTGTTGTTGCTGCCGCAAATTAGTATTTAGTACAAAGTTCACATACCAGGAAAAATGCTAGATTTCTCTAACAGCTGCTTGGGGAAAGGTGTATTCACAGACCAAAAACCAACACAAATCAGCTATATAGCATAGTTATGTGCATCAAAACGGTTTGATCAATAGAGAAGTCAAACATAACCATGAAAGCCAACTCTTACCTAAAACACCAATTTCCAGACCAGTCAGCCCTGCCTCTATCTTGCGGTAGATATCAGTTTTGCCAAAGTCGACAGCAATCGTCCTGGTCTCCACTTTAAACTGTTCCTCTGTGAAGAAAGAGTAATAGTTCAGTTTTGCCGCATTAGCATAGTTATATTATAGTAAACCACATGCTTTTAAACAAAAAGATCAAAGGAGACTGAAGAGAGTAAAAATTAAACTAAACTAACTAGAGTGGTCGGTGTGAGACCAGGACTGTAGAGGGCGCTGTGTACCAACAAACCACCCAAGTGGTCTTCTACCTCGTGCCTCAAGTCCCAGAGCAATTACAATTTATTGTCCAAAGACTTGTTTGGCTGATAGATGGCAGAGGGATCGACAAGAGGAAAACTGTTAGGATGAGACAGGATCAAGAGCCATCGTGTTACAGCGTGCTCCATGAGAACCAAAAAGAAATAAATCTGAGCCAAGCAGGCCAGAAAATTTAATCCAACAGGAAACCAGGGAGTTTACGTACTCAATCCGCCCTGAAATCTAACAGTTTGTCACTGAAAATAATGTAAGTACTGAAATCTCTTATGGAGACGGGAAACGGATAAAATGATAGATGGGACAGGGAGGGTTGCCAGGTTACGTGGCAAGGAAGGCGGGCTCGTTAGGCTGATCGTGAGGGAGAAGTGCTGGAGCTTGGCACACCGCTCCCTGCTCGTGACTACCCACCAGCCTCCTCTGTCGACTCGAAACATGACAGGGGAAACTGTGCTGTGGGAAACATCAGAGACGGGTGGAAAGTTGTGCAAGGAGGAGCACTATGAACAGACCTGGAAAACCTGCGGGACCGTTTTCTACATGGTGAGAAACTTGAACGAGACGAGGTCTGGAAACCTTAAAAAGGAACGAGTCAAGCAGGACTTCCTTTTGTTGGGTCAGATGTTTCACCCTTAAATCACAACCTGGGACCTGTGCTGCAGGCTTCCATGTCACCGCAATCCTAAAACAGTTACGTCTAGACCCAACAGGCTGGGGGAAAGGGGAAAACTACCCAAGAAGGCTGTAACTGTGTAGAAGATTGATATATTTTACAAGAATGTATGCTTCTGTAACAAACCATCATTCTCACTCATCTCTACCCAAACAAACAGTATGGATCCCCCACACACCAATTGACTTGGCGACATCATCCAGCTTGTCCTGTGACCGACTGATCAGCATCATGGCAAATCCTCGACGAGCCAGCTGGGGGTGAAGGAAAAACCAATTTAGTCATAGTTCATTAGACACACACACACACACACACACACACACACACACACACACACACACACACACACACACACACACACACACACACACACACACACACACACACACACACACACACACACACACACACACACACACACACACACACACACACACACACACACACACACACACACACACACACACACACACACACACACACACACACACACACACACACACACACACACACACACACACACACACACACACACACACACACACACACACACACACACACACACACACACACACACACACACACACACACACACACACACACACACACACACACACACACACACACACACACACACACACACACACACACACACACACACACACACACACACACACACACACACACACACACACACACACACACAGCAGCGATAGCTTGAGTGAAATCTAACTGCCTGAAGCGTCGCCTGTGAGGTGGAGTCGATAATCTGGTGTTACTTGATGGCATTTACACTTCAAGATCATCAATAGATCATTCATCTCTGCATACTTCTCATTCTTTGAACAATGGATAAAAGCCTTTAGTAAGTGTATTTGTTACACACACATGACCTCACATCTGTCATGAAGTGCACATGAATATGGTGTGTGTGTGTGTGTGTGTGTGTGTGTGTGTGTGTGTGTGTGTGTGTGTGTGTGTGTGTGTATGTGTGTGTGTGTGTGTGTGTTTTCCAAGAAAATAAATAAAATAAGTGTCCAGGAGCCTCACCTCCTCGGCGTAGGATTTCCCAATTCCATCGGTGGCTCCTGTCACAACTGGAAGGAAACAGAAGGAAAAAATACAGGAAGTCAGTTTGTCGTTCTGACAAATTTAGAGTAGAATTACGTTGTACGGGTGGGGCCACAGGGGCATTGACCCCTGAAGTACACCCACCCTTTTACTCAACGGTCCTTTGTACAATGATCAGATTTAAACACAAGTGGTTCTAATGAGCCAAATGGGATTTTCCGGTGTGAAACCTTGTTTAAGGATGCTGGACTAATGCGTGGCCCCTCTATAAATATCATGGCCTCTTGGTGGCCCCATACTCAGAAAAATCCTAGATCTGCCTCTGTTTTACAATAATTCAGACAATTAAATATAGACTGACATGATTATATGTGAAATCACAATCTCGTCCTTGCTCTGACTGTTAAACATCTCAGAAATACTACTACTACTACTACTACTACCAATAGATTAGATTTGAATAGTACTTTACACAACAAATGTGCTAAACTCGAGTTCTGCGCTCTCACACATGTTGACTTTGCTCAAAGAAGTTGCATCAGGTTTGGCTGCTTTATCCATCAACACCCTAATATGGACCTAAGCCAGGTGTCTCTCCAGGTGAAAGACAAAAGCTAAGCTGTTGGACACACCCTGCAGTTTAATTGACCCGCATTAAGAAAGGCCTTTCCTAACGTTCTACAATGGCAGTTTTCCTCTCACCCGAACAGCTCGTGGCGCGACTCGGATCGGAGCTGGAGAGGAGCTGTGTATGACGTAGCAGAGCGTTTATGGTGGACAAGAATAGTTTAGAATTCACCGAGCCTACAAAAAGGACTTGATGCAAAACAATTCAACTGATGCAGTTTTGACAATTTAAATACTATTACATTTGATTCATAGTGTGAAATTCTAGCTTAACCCTCTGGAGACAGGCGTTGCAGATTTGCAACGTTAAAACCTACCTACCTGGTTACTCCACATACGTATTTCCTGAGCATTTTTTAACTCAGAAGTACCCCTGAAGGAATTAGTTGTTCGTCCTTTTATCAAAACTTAGTTTGAGCCTGAGAGGGTTAAAGGAAATGTGGGCAAAACTGAGGATTTCTCTCACAGGAGATGGTAAAGAGACTAAAGCAGAACCAGGAATTAGAGTTTCTCTTGTGCTCTTCACCTTGTCGGAGCTATTCTAGCACCTTCACTGACCAGCCACACCCCACTTGATTGACAGATAATGGCAGAGAGAGGATGATGCAGACAGGAGGTGGAAAATGAAGAAAATGTAAAGAAAACAACACAATGCTCCAAATGAGATTGGTGAAAGAATAAAAGGTAGAGGGCATTCTCCCAGCAAGAGCACACAAAATGAGGGGGGTGCAGGGAGGAGGGAGTGATGACGAACATGGAGAAGGATAAAGGAGGGGAGTGAAGTACGGCAGGGAGGGATTCTGAGGGTGGCTAAAAATAGAACTAGAGTGAAGCAAGACAACAAAAGAGTGGAGGAGAACGACAGAATGGAGGAGAAAAAGAGAGAGAGATGGGAGGGAAGTGAGGGAGTCGGGAAAAACTAGAGCAGAATCCCCGGTTATTTTTAAACCTCCCCAGTGTTGAGAATCAAACGCTCCATGCAGAAAAGCCTCAATGGGTTTGGGCCATACCAAGTCAGGCTCTGACTGCAGAGGTAGGGAGAGGCTGTGAAAGAGAATTGGGGGGGGGGGGGGGGGGGGGGGGGGGCTATTATACCTATGAGGCCGTTTCTGATTCACATCCAAATGCTACACTTGACATAGGGTTGAGAACAAAACCCAGAGCTGGAGTCACGAAGCTGCTACAGAACACAGAACCCTGTGATGGAAAAATCCTCGACTAATGCCAGACAGGATTCCAACTTGTAGACCGTCATCAATATCAAACTAAAGAAAATTAGCGTTTGCACAAAAACAAATTGCATTCCTTGCACATGGCTCAAGAGATTCTCACAAATGATATTTGGGATTCAAGTCATCTGCGCTTATAACCAAGTATCAGGCAAAAGGAATCCAACCTGTGTGGTGGAATGCAACAGGACTGCACCAACGTGCACGCACACCTGCACCGCTCGAACTCTGACCCGCTCAGATGCGCCTTTGTGTAACAGACACATGGAGCATACAGATAAACACACACTAGACAGATGAGGGAATGCATGACTGTGTGTGTTTAAAATGCTGGTGGAGATCACCTCCTGAATTCCTGCATATCTACTCAGATGTTTTTAGACATGTCACACATTTTAAGAATTCACTTGGTAGATTTCCACACGTGCACTTTGAACTTAAGGTGCATTGGTTTGTTTTTAAAAAAATAATTATAATAATTAGAAAAATCTGAGTTTGGTTGCATTCACAGCGGCATTAATCCACCAACACGACATTAGTTTGCTTACAGAGCAAAAGAAAAGACACTCCAGGAAATCTGCTCAGTCTTAAATTATTCATATCACAGATTTTTGATCCAATCCTTTGTCACAGAAAAATGTTTACTTCAGTAATGGACTAAAACTAGGTGAGGAAGCACAACCGATGTAAATGAAGTTTGAAAGGAATGAAAAATGAAATTGCCATTTCTTTCCCCAAACATTTTTTCTGCTGACCCCTCTCCGTTTCCAGCACTCTCATGCTTATGCTGTAATCCTCAAACCGGTCGCATAATGCCATTTTCTCAATTAACAGTGTGTGTGTTTTATATATTGGCAGATTTCTAATCTAAAAAGGATTCTGAGAATATTCAGGTCAAAATAAATATTTTTAATTAAAAACACCTTTCAATATAAAAAAAAAAACACAAATTTATTTCTCAACCATCCTATTATTTTCTGTCTATTCTGACTCCCAAAAGCCTATTTTACATCCCAGTGGGACACGATCATCACGTGAACAACGCATGACATCAGTGGCATAAGGCACCAACGTAACAGAGGCCTACGCAGGCAGCCACGTGAATGACAGCAGTACTGACGACAGCAAGCTTTGTGTGTGTGTGTGTGTGTGTGTGTGTGTGTGTGTGTGTGTGTGTGTGTGTGTGTGTGTGTGTGTGTGGTGGTGGTGGTGGTGGTGGTGGGGGGGGGGGTTGCTTCACCAGTCCCTCCCATCCCCTCATCTTGGAGCAACTGGTCCAGCATTCCTAGTTTAGAGCTGAAGGGGGCGCGTCAGCACTGCAGCTTAGCTTGGGCTCATGCTGCACATTCAGAGGTACTGCCATCCCCCAGAATTTTCCATCTCCCTCCCCCCTCGGCAGTAGAGCAGCCCTTGCTGCTGCCTGCTCACTATTCTGAGGGTCTAAAAAAAGCAGCAGCAGGAGTAAAAATAGCAGCGCCTGCACTGCCTCGTCTGGGAGCTGCCTGCTGCAACACCTGAATGCCAAGAAAGATCCCCAGCCATCCTCCGCACGACAAGCGGGATGCTGTTGAATCCTAACCACCACCCCCCACTAGAACGAGCACTGTGGGCTGGGGAAACCAAGACAAACAGGAAATTACTAGTGAAACACTGGAAAGCAGAACATCTATGATGACTGCATGAGAATCAGTGTTTGATTACTTTCAAGCAAAAGGATTTAAAGATTTCTGATCACATCCAGACCCCAAATTGAGATTCTTTCTGCAGTCCTTGTGTTATGTAATCAAACACAGAAAACATGACAATAAAAATCCACCCGTATTTCACATTCAAGCACACAAATAAAGCAGCATGTTAAAAATAAAGCCGATCAGACCAATGCAGAGGCTAAGACAAGAGTACATCAGAAATGCTCAAGACAGAAGCAGCAAAATTTTTTTCTCTGGCTACAATTTCTCAAATAAAAACCTTTACTGGAGGCTAAAATTTTGGATTTCATCTAAGTCTAAGAATTCATTCAGCAATTTCTGCTAATTCTTTCACAAAGCTAATCCCTGAGAACAATCAGAATAACAATGTGTCCTTTGCCCCATTTCCAACCATCAGATGTGCAACATTCCAGCTCCATTATTCATGTTTTTCCTTTATCTGATGAGTCCTTTTAATACGAGGCTGTGGGATGGAAGCAGATAAAGGCACAACTTCATACAGTACATTCTTTCTACCATCCTAGAAGTCTACCGTGGCTGATGACGTTCGTTCACAGCTAGACCAGTAGCCTCTGCTATCATCACAGGAAGTGATGAGTTGCTGACTCAAAATATGCATTCTGGCAGATTCTGTGTTTTGATAGCATTACTTATCAGCTTGAACTCACATTTTCTTGCTTATGCAAACCAATTATTTTTGTATGATGTAAACTGGAGGCGATTCAGGCAGTTCAATAAAAACCAGCTTAAATAGGACATATAATGCAAAATTCACCTTCTGTATTGCCATGTGGGTCTCTCCTGATTCTATAAACGCTCCAGTGTGGAAAATAAACATCCATAAGTATTCGGTCAGTGTTTGATTTTAGGAATCATCTCCCTAAAAGCAGCAGTTTCAAAATGTCTCCCATTTGTGATGTCACAAACTGGGAAATTAGAATAGAACCATCTCATGTGCAAGAGAGAGCTGCAGCTGGAGGAGCATTAAGCTGGGCGGACACTGTGCGACTTTTTCACTCGTAGCACTCAGCTTCAGCTCAAACTGTACGACTTCCTCACAGGGCAGATCTCATGAGTCATGCGCTCACACTGTACGACCCAGTTCTCGGATGCGATCTGACTGCTCACACTGTACGTCTGATAGCAACACGTCGGCCCTAAAAATATGCTAAAAATAGCAGTTTTTACTCAACACGTTAGACTTTTTTTGTCTTGATTTGCCTGTTGTCCTTCGGGAGTGCTGCAGGAGGACACGCAGGGATTTATGGGGGTTGGATGAGGAAAACGAAATAAAGAAAGTAAATCTGTGTTTTGTGATCAGTTTAATTTGACATGAACATGACAAACACGCTTTCTTGACAATCTTTGTGAGTAAAAAACGTGTAGAAACAAAAAACGAACAACGTGTGTTATTAGGGAAATAGCGAGCGGCGTTGACGCATGCGCCGTGAGTGGTTCTGATACTTTTTGGGTCGCAGCTGCTCGCAGCGCCGCTTCAACAGTGCGATACCCTCACGAGGGACGAGCAAAATATTAAACATGCCAGAAGTTTGTGCGAGCTCACGATTGCTGATCGGTAGCTGGTCACATGGTGTTAATCGCCTCTCGTAACCCCCGGTACACTACATGACACTCGGCGCAAAACTCGCCCCGATCTCGTGGATTCTGGCACGACTGGAAAATCGGCTCAAAAAAGTGAAAAAGTTGCACAGTGTACGCCCGGCTTTAGCTCACTTGAAGGCCATCCCAGATATCCAAGCTTCTCAGCTAACAGCAGCCTGAGTGGGGTATAGAGCTCCGGAGTTGATGTCACTTCTCCCGGCATGGAACAGTTCAAATCGAATAGCGCCATCTTGGCAGGCAGTAATTTGACATTTTAGTTATTAATCTTATTTAAGTTTATATTTTCCCATTTAAACACAAAATAAAACCAAATACTCACAGCTATTCACTTATTAACTTCTTTTAATCCTTGTGAGCAGTGGAATTTCTGCATCAAGTGCAGATGATTCACATGTGCACATTTTCCTGCATCGTAAACAAATCTTCATTCCTAAAAATACTAAATACTGATTATTTTGTCTCCATTGTTTCAAAGCTCTGATTTACAATGAGCTTATGTTGATAAACGTTCTACTGGAGTCAGTTAAAGTCTTGCATAAGTCTTTATCATGAATGACTGGATCTTATATAATCGGACCATTTTCTCAATAAACTCATGTCAAAGGAGGAGAACATGAAGGAAGGTTGTGTGTGTGTGCGTGTGCGTGTGTGTGTTGGGGGAGGGGGTGCACAGCTACTATTTTCTAAAAAAAAGATTTCTATTGAGCTTCACAATCATAACAGGACAGGCTTTCTTACACAAATGAAACCAGTGGAAAACGAGAAAATAATCAAAACGTGAATAAATCTACATCTCATCAGGAAGTCTAAATTCAACGGAACCATTTATTTAAATTTTATAGTGTGATTAAAGACACGAGGACTATGCAGACAAGAGGGGAAGCCGCTTTGACTCATGCTGCAGTGCACAGTTTCTCCACTAGGGGTCCCATCTGCTAAAAGGGTTTTCTGAGAAGCTGCAGAGCTTCATGCAGCAGATGCACAGCTCGAGAACACCGAGTACAATCAGAACATTCTTCACGTTACCAGTTTCATTCTGATCTGCTTACAGATGAAACAGTGATGAGCACCCACAAACTTGTCTGACAGGAAACAGAAGGCTTGTGTTGCCATGGCAGTGGGAAAAAGAAGAGCCATCACATTAAGGGACATGAAGGCAACAAGAGACTGGTGTCAATTTAATAGGAAAACACCGGTTCATGTTGTATTGGTATGGAAAATTACTGGATTTTTATTGTTTTTCAAACGAAAAACACCACTCAAACTAATTCGGGCGAGAAAATTGAGTATACATATAATAATAGGTTTAATTAATTCATTCTCACGCTTTAAAATATCAAAAATTAAAGCAGAACATCGGCTCTTCATCAAAAGATGACTCATTAAAACCTATTTTTTTTAACAGCGAATCTAAATCTGAACAGCTCAAACAGGCTGCTCCAGAATGCCAGGTCCAACCTGCTGAGGAGAACACCTCACCTCATCACAATGTCCCGCCCGCACCGTTGTGACTGGTTGAACTGGTGGCACCGATTGGTTTCAGGATGTTCACGCGTTTCGAAAAGAACTCGTTTGGTAAAAAAATGTATAATAATAATAATAATAATTATTATTATTATTATTATTATTATTATCATTATTATTATTATTATTATTATTATTATTAATTATTATTATTCCATGCAAATGTAGGCGCGGCCATCAGAGAGAAAATTCTGAGTCATGCTGGTGGCATCGTGATTGGTTACGCACGCTGCAGTGAGGAGGTCTGTAACCAGATGGGGTGGGGTGAGTGGTCATCACAATGTCTGTACGGATGACGATAAACTTGAATCACCAGGATGAACCGGCATTCCTAAACATATTCCGTCAGAATCAGCGCGCGGGGGGTGGGGGTGGGGGTGTTTGAGTCATGCATCTTATAGCGCACAAAAAAACAGAATACAATTGTGCGTTACATTAACATATAAAACACACGCTTCACACCAACCAGACGCTATTCTGGCGTAAAAATAAGAATCTCGCAAAGTACACTGATACATTGCGCAGCAAAAGGCTCCAGACGCTAAAAGTGGGTCAAGCCACAGGGAGGGCGATTCCTGAGATATAGACTCCAGAAATGTTCAGTCAGGAATAATACACGACTTCAATTTGTTTCAATATGTTTGGATTTGAATTGGGTTTGTAGGTTTTTGGTTATGTGGGATAAAAATGTAAAAAGCCCGATGAGAACACAAAAATAACCACGTGGGAATCAAAAGGTCTTAAATGATCTGGGTCACGTTTGTTTTAAATCTGGTTCTGTGGGACTGATTGCTCACCCACATCACCCACCACAGCTATGTGAAAAGTGCGCATAGCCTGCGCAATTTGGCTTCTGGCTCACCAATGTGGGGCGCACCCCCCTCCCCGGCTCCAAATGTGGTTGAAAACGCTGATTGGAACCTTTTGGCAGCTCGCCGTGCTGTCAGGAGAGGATTTGAGCAAATAAAGATTTCAGTCAAGTCAATTAAGCAATCCACCTGCGCATATCACGCAACCTCTCGTTGAACCAAGTGAAACGTAAATTAGAAGTAAAGAAGGCACCGGGTGCAGCTCCACAAAGAGAGAAGTGAAGTTTGAGCTCAATAACCTTGTTCTGTTTGGAAGTCAAAGACCACCTGCCTACTCCCGAGCTGCCTGAAAACCTGCTCGAACCTGACTCACCTGCCCATTTGCCCAGCTTTGGGGAAAGCAGCTGTCCGTTCCCCAAGACCCAGATCCTGAAGCCAGTGAGCAGCCGGTAGAGGAGCCACAGCGTCAGGAAGGCCACCGTCAGCGCACCGACCCAGAAGAGAGGCGTCTCGGCCCGGCAGATCATTTCCTCCATGCTCATCCGGCGGCTCTCGGTGACTTGGCGTGTGTGAATGTGTAAGTGTGTGTGTATGTGTGTGTGTCTGTGTGTGTAGACCTCAATTTTAGGCTCTAGTTTCCAAGCCACAATGTGAGAGAGAGTCCCTTTATAAGGAGGTTGTAGCATCACACACATACACACACACACACTCCCCCAACACTTGTCAAGCCTGATTTGAAGCGCGCCGCCCACCACCGCCTCTCACCGGGTGCAGGAGCCGTCTCCTTGCCGCTGATTGGCTCCTTCTTACGCCAATCAACAGCACAGCTTCCCCATTCACTGCATTTTGTGTACGGAGCTGGGCGGAAATAGGGAGACCGGAGGGGGAGCTGATTGGATGAGCATTACGGCAGCTCCCATCCAGAGTCTGTGATTGGCTCTTTCTGGAACTGGTTTGACGGTTTCAGTCAGAATTATGAAACAGTGCAAACCCACGCTTTGGGTAAAAAAAGAAAAGAGAAACTGCCCATACCACTTTATGAATGGAAGGATGTGCTCATTGGAGAGGAATGTGTGTCCCGCCCAGTGGAGAACACACAGGCTGTTCATTGGCGAGACTGACGCCAGGCTGTGAGGCCAGCCTGAACCTAAGCATGAGTCACCCCTGTGCCGTATAGGTGCTCCTTCAGCATCAGAATGTCTGAAAAAAATAGCTGCAGGTGCAGAGACTCCACGGCACCGGGGTTTGGGTCCTCCAGAAACACCTGATGCGTCTGAATCTGGAGCATCACACTAGTGCAAGGTGTCTAAAAAGTGAAAAAACTACAACCCCCAGAAACTGCTCCTTCAACTCTCGCGAAAATTCACACAAGTAGTAATTTTCTCCGAAACTGGGAGCATGCTGGATGAGATGTGTTACATAAACACCGAGACAGGCTTTTACATTTCCATCGCTTTATTTTTATTTTTACAGCATTTTCTTTATATCACACACACAACACACAAACACACACACACACACAGAGAGAGAGAGAGAGAGAGAGAGAGAGAGAGAGAGAGAGAGAGAGAGAGAGAGAGAGAGAGAGAGAGAGAGAGAGAGAGAGAGAGAGAGAGAGAAATGGGACAAATCAAACATGAAATTCTGTCAGATCGATGATCTGTGGTTCAAACTGAAGGTTGGTTTGAACTCAGCTGAGGTACATAAGTATACAAATGGGTCTGCATGCTGAAATCCGACGTGCAGCTGCTCACAGTGTTTAACACAAGAGCAGGGATCCGTGATAGAGTTGCAGGTTGTGTAACAGTTTCAGAAGAAATGTTATTTGCATTAATATTGCGACAATTACCATTAAAATATGAAACAACTTTTGGCGAAATTTAAATAATGCACAGTTTAAAAAACATTACAAAACTCAGTTGGAGGTATTTAGTCAGTAATGTAACATCAAACACAATAATCACACACACACACACAGAGAGAGAGAGAGAGAGAGAGAGAGAGAGGAGAGAGAGAGAGAGAGAGAGAGAGAGAGAGAGAGGAGAGAGAGAGAGAGAGAGAGAGAGAGAGAGAGAGAGAGAGAGAGAGAGAGAGAGAGAGATTTGGGCAGCTTTAACATATATTATGAAAAATTTCAAACATTTATGAAAAATTTCAAACATTCTGAATAATTTTTGCAAACAAGTCCATCCATGTGATCTAATTTCAAACTGCATTTCCTCCCAAATGTATAAAAATCAACAGATATTTTGGTGGAAGTGTCTTTCCATTTCCTGCTGTCGCTGTCCAGCTCGGAGGTGTTGAAGTTCAGCATCTCCGAGCTGGACAGCGACACACACCAGAGAGCCAGAAAGACACAGACAGCTCCAACATGCAGCAGAAACACAGCTCCACACAACATCTTCAAACACAAAAGGTTTCTCTGTTTGGGATGTCTTAAAATCTGCCAATTCCACAGATAACTTCCTTGGGTGTCCCGTTCATTTCCTGACCATAAAACATAAAACAGCACACTATCTTTAAAATCCAGGGCAGGTTCAGATACATGCCTGCAGCTCAGTTTCTCCTGGAGGAGCAGCTTTACCTGAGAACACACACACACACACACACACACACACACACACACACACACACACACACACACACACACACACACACACACACACACACACAGGACCTTACTTCAGCATTACTTCAACATTATAAACACACATTAGACTCATATTTACACCTTCATAATTTCCTGTAATTCATATTAATCTCAGCTGCTTCTACTATAAATCTGTTTAAACAATTCAAACACAACACAGATAATTATATATGTAAGATTTGTATTTATTTGAACAATAAGGCATTTAAAACCAACGGCAAAGTTACTTATTTAGTCATGTACAGAGATTTAGATATATTTTTAAAAAATCTCAACTGTGAACCATCATCCTTCTCAGAAACCTGAAGTCTAAAAACATGGCATTTCTACAATTTTATTAGCTTGATTTAGTATTAAAAACACTAATTACACACTTAGTACTCTCTCTCTCACACACACACACACACACACACACACACACACACACACACACACACACACACACACACACACACACAGACCAATAACCTAACAGTCATGTTTTTGGACTGTGGGAGGAAGCCGGAGGACCCGGAGAGAACCCACCCATGCACAGGGAGAACATGCAATCTCCGTGCAGAAGGAATAGAAACACCTGTAAAGGTTCCTGAGCCTTTAAATGGTCTCTCAGTCTAGTTAAATTACTGAAATAAATGTAATTCTGTACAGTATTCTAATTTTTCCAGCTTCACATATTTGTGTGTTTTAGTAGCATTTCTGTTGCTGGTAATCTAGTAATGGTTAAATAAATAGAAGAGGCACAGTTCTGATGGAGGACTTACATTTACCAACTTGGGTCAGACCCAGACACAGAAGAGCTGCAGCTGGGTGGTAAACACACAGGTAGTTCTAATAACACCTATGATGTTTGAGACTGATGCATCAGTGTTACAGCGGGACTAAAGAAATGATCAGAAACAGTTTACAGCTGGATGATCTAGGAAGGTAGAAGATCGTGACATCTGAGCGGTGAACAGGTGAGAAAGGCACGTCTTCCTCATTCTTCACAGGCTTGCAGGTTCTTCATACGCTTGCATGAAAACATTTGCCTCATTAGCTCCCAATCAGCTGATGATGGCTTCAACACACCACACTGCTGAATTAGTAACACATTTAGAGTCTAAAGAGGGATGGAGGACATAAGGAGACACATGGGGAAGACACAGACGCAGACCATGACAGTACCCCCCCCCCCCCCCCCCCCCCCCCAAAAGGGCGGATACAAGACGCCCAAGACAAGAACAAGACAAAACCACAAACAAAAGACAAGGACAAAAACAGGACACCAAAGCCACAGGGAGGGAGAGGGGGGACCAAACAAAAACAACCCATAAGGGTGGGCGAGGAGGGAACAGGAGACTCAGAGGAACCGGTGACGGGGAGCCAGGAGGCAGGACCAGGAAAACCCTGGGGACAGGGGCCTTGGAGGAGGAGGAGGAGGAAGGAACTTCAGAGGGCGAGGAAGGGTCGCTGGAGACGGGGACTGAGACTGGAACACAGGTGACTCTTGAGGCCGGACGGTGACTGGATCTTTCGAGACAGGGACGGTGACTGGAACACTTGAGTCAGGGACGGCGACTGGAGCTTTTGATACGGGGACTGGAACACTTGAGGGAACTGGAACACTTGTGGAAAGACATGTGGACAGGGACGAAATTTTGATTTCAGTAGTGGGGGGGACACAGCAGGCTTGTGCGGATTTGGGGTGGGGGGTGTTATGTAAAGACCCCTTGACACGTCATGTGCCCATCTCAATAATTTTTCCATCCTATATATATATATATATATATATATATATATATATATATTATCATTATTGAAGTGCAGTTTTGGCTGTTGACAATGGATAGGCTATTGTATTTATTGTTTTGGGTCTTTTTTTATTGTTTTTGGTGCAACATTTTCTAACAGGGAGTGAGATTCCTTTTTTATTTAATTTTTGTTTGTTATTTTTATTCATTTAGAAGTTCTGGTTCTGGACATTTCAATGTTAAATGAAGGTTTCTTTGTTGCATTTTAAAGGGTGTACTTGCATTATTATGATATATTAACATTATATTAGTGGTTATTTTGGTCTAGATAATGTTGACAATGATATCGTTTATCATCAACAATTTGTTGGACAAAATATCGTCCAGCAAAATTTGTTACTTTCCCAGGCCTAGTCAAAAGTATAAAAATTATTTATACATAAACGGTCCCTCCTGAGATCTGGCCGTTTGTTCATTTGCTGTGTTAGAGGACATGCTGAACTAATGTTTTACACATGATCATCACCCTAACATTTGAGTGTATAAAAACATATTAAATATGTTTTTCCCTTAAAAGTGTTTAAACAGTTGTTGCATTTCAACACACAAAAAATAATTGGAAAAAATAAGATAAATCTAATGAAAAGTGTACATCTTTGACATTAAGCTTAAAAAAATCTGTTGACGATGATGATACTGTTCATTTTTCAGAGCTTTTTAATGTGAAAATATACATTGCAATAGATAAGTTTACAATAAAGTTAAATGATAAAAGTTTTGAAGTTACACTTCTACTACTACTACTACTAGTAATAATAATTATGATGATAATAGTAATAAAAAAATAATTATTATAATAATACGAATAAATTGTGTCTGAGGAGTCAGTTATGTGGAGGAGATGAGTTTGTAAAAGTTAGTTTTGAGTATGTGTGTGAAGGAGGAGGTGAGTCTGAGCTTAATGCAGGGGTGTCACATGTTCCAACTTACGTTTTGACTTTGAAAGGAGTCTCTTATATCCACTTTTCATTTTCTTGACATGCTGCCTCCTGGCTGTGCCTAACTACCAAAGACTCACAAATGAACACTTATTCAAATGTTATGTAATGGAAGCTGAGCTGAGCTCTTATATTACACAGCGTCTAGTTGACGATGTGACTCAGTACCGGTGTTCCCTAGCGGCTCCAAACTAGCAAAACAACGTGAGCACGTTCTGACTGTTTACAACTTGAGTGACAGCAGCAACAGCCAATAATACGTTAGCAAGTATCAGCAGAGCCAATAGATTAGCTTTTGGGCGGGTCTAATAGTAAACCGGTTTCCGTTTCGGTCCTAGTGCTCAACCAAATCCTTTTAATGGAGCGTAACATTGTTTTTGGACAGAAAAAAGTGCAGGGGACCAAAACTGCCTTTTGAAAAAGTGGGGGGGACATGTCCCACTCGTCCCCCCCCAAAATTACGTCCCAGCATGTGGAAACACTTGTGGGAACACATGTGGGAACATATGTGGGAACACATGTGGGAACGCTTGTGGGAACTGGAAGGCTTGTGGGAAGGCTTGTGGGAGCGGGGACGTTGAGACCTGAGTCGGGGGACGTCGAGACCTGACACGGGGACGTCAACACTTGAGGGAACTGGAACACTTGTGGAAAGACATGTGGGAAAACTTGTGGGAACACATGTGGGAATGGTTGTGGGAACTGGAAGGCTTGTGGGTAGGCTTGTGGGAGCAGGGACGTGGAGACCTGACACGGGGGACGTGGAGACCTGACACGGGGGACGTGGAGACCTGACACGGGGGACGTGGAGACTTGACACGGGGACGTGGAGACTTGACACGGGGACGTGGAGACTTGACACAGGGACGTGGAGACTTGACACGGGGACGTGGAGACTTGACACGGGGACGTGGAGACTTGACACAGGGACGTGGAGACTTGACACGGGGACGTGGAGACTTGACACGTGGACGTGGAGATGTCCACTTCAGGCCTGGAAGTGCCGGACTGGACGGAGTCTCTTGGAAAGGCTGGACCGGAGCCTCTTGGAAAGGCTGGACCGGAGCCTCTTGGAAGGGCTGGACCGGAGCCTCTTGGAAGGGCTGAACAGGAGGCGATGCGTCCACCGGGACCACCACCGAGACAGAAGGCGATGCATCCACCGGGACCACCGCCGAGACAGGAGGCGATGCGTCCACCGGGACTACCGCTGGAGCAGGAGGCGATGCGTCCACCGGGACCACCGCTGGAGCAGGATGCGATGCGTCCACCAGGACCACCGCTGGAGCAGGAGAAGATGCGTCCACCGGGACCACCGCTGGAGCAGGAGGCGATGCGTCCACCGGGACCACCGCTGGAGCAGGATGCGATGCGTCCACCGGGACCACCGCTGGAGCAGGATGCGATGCGTCCACCAGGACCACCGCTGGAGCAGGAGGCGATGCGTCCACCAGGACCACCGCTGAAGCAGGACGGCTGCGGCGTCGTCGGCATGGGGTTTTTTGGCTCAGAGGCATGGAGAAGACACTGGCAGGAACCGAGGAGGAATGACAGCCCCCCGGAGAGGATACAGCAGCGCTGACTGGTCCAGGCGAAGGTGTGCAGGTGGTAGAAACAGAAAACGAGGAGGAATGACAACCCACCCGGGGTGAAGAGGCGGCGTTGTCTGGATCAGGTAAGTGTGTGGTGGTTTGGTCCAACGGAGGTGCTGAGAAGGCACCAATGGGTTCAGGGGATAAGGAGATGAAGCCAGTTCTGATTGAGTGGACCGGAGTAGGAAGGTACTGGAGTCTAGAAGCTGAAGGAGGAGATGTGGAGGAAGTGGTGGCAGGAGCGACTGGTGAAGGAGGGTCATGGCCAAAAGCTTGTAGAACCTTCTTAGCAAAGTCCCAAAACGACACAGCCTTAAGATCCTCTACCTCGAACATTTCAGCAACCCACTGCATGGATTTACCTCTCATCCAAAGCACCATAAACGACACCTTGTTGGATTCAGAGGATTTTAAGTCCAAACAATGGGCACAGGTCCGAACAAATTCCACACAAAGCTCCGGATCTCCATCGTAAAAAAAACATCTCCTGTGTACCTGGAGATCCTGCTGGGTCCTGGGTTGGTCGGTCCATTCTGTCGCGTTTAGGAGCAGGAGGTTAGGACCCAAGATGCAGAACCCAGGATGACACAAGGCAGGAGTGGATATGTAAAGTAAAAATCGTTTATTATGAGGAAGAACAAAAATAAATCCAAATGGCAGGGAGCCAAAAATCCAGAGAGTCAAAAAACACCAGAGCAACGAGCAGACTGAACAGAACAAATAATGCTGACAAACAACAATGGACCGACAAGAACAATGAGACAAGGAGGGCTTATATAGACAGGGAGGAGCAATTAGGGAAACAGGAAGCAGGTGTGCGGAGTGAGCTGCTGGAGGGAAGGCAGTTGACAACAATTATCTGGATGGGGAAGAGAACCAGTGGAGGGCAGATAAACCTAACACTATTTAAAACACAAAACTAAACCTAAAGACTCTGGGAAGAACTCACACAAACGCATACACTTACTGACACACACAAACTCATACACACATACAATGAACTGGGGAACAAGAGGCTGGGGCTACAACTAAGGCCTAGTCCACACGTAGCCGGGGGTTTTTAAAAACGAATATCCGCCCCTCCAAAAACTTGCATCCACACCACCTTGTTTTAAAAACAAACTCTGTCCACACTTACCCGGATAAATACGTTGTTAAGGACATGCCAGACCTGTAGGCGGCAGTACTTCCCCCGTTCTTAACCTCGTCCTTCGTCTGTGGTCTTCCGCAAGGAGCAGTAATTCCGCTTGCAAAAACAAACAAGCAGAAAGCGCTTGGACAATTGATAAAGCGAGCGCAGCTCTGAGGGCTTCCATGCTGTCGGCTAGTGTAAACACAGGTCGCACACGTGATGTCAGCATTTTTCTGTCGCAGAAAGTGACGTTGCGGACCTTAAAACTCCGGTTATGTCCGTCCACACGCAGACACCCAAAACGGAGAAAACGCAGATCTTCACTTTGGCCGGAGTTTTTAAAAAGATTCATTTTCGTGTGAAAAAACTCAGTTTTCGTGTGGATGACAGGCCAAAACGTAGAAAAATATCTACGTTTTGGCAGATCCCCGGTTACGTGTGGACAGGGCCTAAGACACACAACAGAGATGCAGACAAAGGACACATGAGGGTGCTATGAGACACAAAAGGGAATCTAAAGAAGGATGGAGGACATAAGGAGACACATGGGGAAGACACAGACGCAGACCATGACAACACTAGAAAAGTGTTCATTGGGCTTTGAGAGGAGATATTAGAATTATCTCGACCCAACTTTGTTAACTAAATCCATCTAGAAGAAAAAAATATATATTTAAAACGTTTTTATTCAACCATGTTCTTTTCAGCATTTTAAAGCAGGGTGTAGATTTTATATTTATACGTTCCCACACCCCTCACCAAATGACAAAACATTTGTTGGATTTTAGCAGCTGTGTGTGTGTGTGTGTGTGTGTGTGTGTGTGTTCGTCATGTGATTCCTGAACTCGCATATGATGTTTATTTTAAATTGTGAATCTTGTGTCTGCCATTTAACTTCTCCAGCAGACAGACAGACAGACACACACGCACACACACACATGCCTGCATGCACGCACGTGTGCACGCATGTGCGCACACACACGCACACATTTTTATTAGTGAATTAATGTTCTTATTTCATGTCATTTAACCAAATTTTCACACTGACTCCAAAATGTTAGAAAAAATCTGTGAAATGTGAAAAATCAAACAATAAAAATGATCACAGAGGTATTTTTGTCATCACACACACAAGGAGGAGCATGTGATCTATTTTATTTTATGCTTTTAATACTTATTCCGCTGCAGAGTTACTGTAAAACACACATGCATGCATGCATGCGTGTGTGTGTGTGTGTGTGTGTGTGTGTGTGTGTGTGTGTGTGTGTGTGTGTGTGTGTGTGTGTGTGTGTGTGATGTTATGCTAGAATGGATCTAGGTATTTACATTTAATTAGGTTTTGGGACATTAAAGATTCATAAATTGTATAAAATCTGTTTTTGTAAAAGAAACAACAAAGGCAATATTTAATTTAAGTCAGTTGTTTTTTTAAATGTGATTTAGTGCTATCACGTGCTGTCTTACAGCTGTGTTTGTCTCACAAACGGAGCTGAGCTGCTCCTCTGCAGCTCTCAGCTGTTCAGTCGGCCATTTTGTGTCCGGCTGCAGCGTCTCCCTGCCTGGTTCTGTCACCAACACAAGCCTGTCTTCAGCGAGGAACACAGGTGAGAGGCAGGCTGACCAGTTAGCCCACCAGGGTTTGACACCGTTCAGGTCTTTGACGTCTGGCCGACCATCTTTTTAACACACAAACACAAGTGAGGCGGGGCAGCATAATCTAACAATCTAATCTGTGAATAGATTATAATTATCCTCTTGTTTTGTTTTTGACACCTGTGTGACATCTTGAGACTTTTATTCTGCATGTCTTTGCGCATCAGCCCTGAAATAATGGAGAAGAAAGCTCCAGTTGAAGTAATTGGACTCTTATTCTATTTTAGTGGTATAATCTAAAATTATAAACTGTAAGAGAAGAGAAGCGTCCTCTTATCAGCGTTCTCTCTTTAAGGGTACATGTTAATAAAAATCCAGTTTTCTGTGCTTGAGAACCCATAATTGGACGTCTTAAATGGCCACCTCTTTATTTGTAGCTCCCTGAGTCTGAAAACATCTGAAAATAAAGCCATCCAGACTACCATCTGTACCTCCACCAGCCGCGCTGCATTCACCGTAGCTCGCCACTTCAGAGCCCATCCCATTTTCAATCAGCCACTCTGGCCAATAAACAGCGAGGTGGTTTATTCTAAAACTGCAACGCTGAATAAATCTGAGGTTCACCAGCGGTGAGAGACTTACTGATATTTCTGTTCTCAGAGAGCTGTTTTGTAATCTGCTACCACAGAAAACAGCCATGAGCAATAATCTCACGATGTTGGGAAAGATGTGGGGACAAGGACGGGTGCTTTCTTCCATTGTTGCATGTGTCTGAATTTTGGAACATCTGCAGATGTTTTTATACAAGTTACCTGAAATGCGTGATTGTGGTCTGCAGGAGAAAACCCACACATATTATAACCCCATGTAGCATGGCTACAGCTGGGTTTTGAACCTGCAACCTTGTTGATTTGAGGTAGCAATGCTTCCAACTTTATTTTTACACCCATGCATTTTATAGAGTTCTCGTGTTGGTCCACCCTTGCAGAAGAGAGAGTTCTCGAGAATGGTGGATTCATTTTCCAGAACCTCTTTCATGATGTTTGGTTCTGATGTTGGACCAGAAGCATCTGATTCACCCTGAAGGTGTTTTATTCTGAAGAGGATTAGGGCCGCTGAAAAGAAAAATAACCCTCTTCCAGAGATCTTTAGTAAGCAAGAATAGGATCATTATGTGACATACATTTTTTGCTTTTATTCCACTTAGTTTACATTTACAGTAGACATAAACCAAATTCACGTGCTTTTCATTCCCTCACACTTCTTATGAATCACAAATCAACAGAATCTTAATGTTTTTAAGTTATTTCTTTGGTGAGAAAATGTAACCTTTCAGCAGGTGAACTTGCCTCCAAACAGCAAAAACAGCTCGTTTTTAAACATCTTTCCTAGAAAAGAGACTCCCGTAATTACTGGATTTCTGTTAAAAGTGGGCCCGTTTGCTCCAACACTCAGCGTAATATGAGCTGCTCTTCCTTAATGCTTTCATGTAACGCTGAAAACGTCTTTTCTTTTATTCATTTCTGGTAAATGGTCATTTTACACTAAGTTCACTCACCAGATCAATTTTCTCTTCTTTTTTTTTTAGTTTTATGGAAAAACGAATAAAAACAAAACATATTTTTGAAGAATGTGACAGTATGACTGAATTGTGTTTGAATTGGAATTTTGAGGATTTGAGGTTAAAATAATACCTTTATTTTTAAGAAAACATGATTATTAAGACTGTCAGAAAAGAGCTTTGATGTAACATAGCTGAACTAAACTTAACCTGTTTAACGACATTAGTACCCCCCCCCCCCCCCACACACACACACACAAAGGTCACTATTTTCTACTATACTGAGTATTACATTTTAAGACATTAAAACAAACAAAATAAAATGTTTGAATCTTCCAATTTGAACTGATTTTTCTTAAGTTTCTCACTGTGAATAATTTGCTTGTTTTATATTTTGAAAACCTAAAATAAAATCTTAAAAAGAATCATTTGTGACAATTGTCTCCTGTGCCTGTGATATTGAGTTAAAATGTCAAATGAAACATGATTAGTTTGATATTCAAACGTGGGATGGTGATTTGTAATCTCATTAAAAGGTTGTGTGTAACATCACTAATAGGTTTGGCTGATGTTGTGTTATTTAAAAGGAAGCCCAAACATGGGCAGCAGGAGGAGAGGATTTATGTGTTAAAGGTTCTTTAAAATAACAAAAGTTTAAATATTTCTAAAAACAAATGTAAAAAGAGGCAGAAAAGTTAAAATGTTTGTTTTTGAGAAACTTCTTTCCTCTTTTAGTGTTAAAGGATCTGCTGTGTTATTTTGAGTGTGTGTGTGTGTGTGTTTTATGTAATCACTTAGAAAAAGATTGAAATGTATTTAATAAACAGTGTGTGTTATTTGTCTTATTTTACCTTAATTATCATTTAAACAAAAAAAAAAGACTTGTTTTACTGTCATCTCATAAGACATCCAAAGAGGCTGCTTCTGATGTCAGAAACTTAAAGAAGCTTCATCTTTTAGTTCTTTTTAAAACCCCGAAAGGTTTTATTTACCTGCAAACGAAACACTGCAGGTAAATAAAACCTTACTGTGTTTTAAAAAGAACTAAAAGATGGAATTAGAATTTCAACACAGCAAGAACACACCAAAGATATTTAAAGAAGCTTCTTTTATATGAATTTTATTCACACAACTGCAGAGCAACAAGATAAAATTAGCTGTTCAGAAAATAACAAGAAAGTAAATGTATGAAACTTTGAAGGACCTTACTTAGTGAAACAGTAAAACGTGAATGAATGCATGGATGATGCTGTAGATAGTTCATTCATTCATTATTCTCAAAGACGTTTAATCAAAGTTGATCACACTCTGAACTGAGGACTAAAAACTCTGTAAATGTAAATAGATTACAAAGGCACATTTATTTCTCTGCTACAAATGTATTGTGTGATGTTCTTGTTTGAAATTACAGATTTTTCTTGAAATTAAATCAACTGAAAGTCAGACGATGAGTAGGAAATATCTAGAAAACATTAAGTTTATTTTCACTGAAATGTTAGTACACATCCTGATAATTCTGGGTGTGTGAGACATGTTCTATTATTCTGTGAAATGAGCGAATGGTGTGTGTGTGTGTGTGTGTGTGTGTGTGTGTGTTTTAATCACCTTGAAAAGGGACAGAAAGTAAAAGTTTATGTATTAAACAGTTTATTTGTTCTCAGATACTTAAATCATTAATATTTAAACAATAAATTCCATTTGAATTTTATTTGACTCGATCATCAAACACAACCAGACGTTTGCTGCTGATTCATTCTTTAATCTCAGAATTTACTTGTTTTACTGTCATCTCATGAGAAATCCAAAGAGACTGCTTCTGATGTCAGAAACTTAAAGAAGCTTGTTTTATATGAATTTTATTCACACAACTGCAGAGCAACAAGAAACAAATGAGCAGCTCAGAAAATAACATAAAAGTGATAACAAAGCAAATGTGTGATACTTTGAACTGGACCTTACTTGAATGAATGAATGAATTTATTTGGTCCAACCAACAATTGAATCCATTTGCCCTGTGCATCCAAGCTTATAGTGTTCGCCTACCCCTTTTACCTTAGATTATCACTATGACACCAAGACATACAGATTGAGAATTTGACAATGAATTTAACATTTTCTCCATACCAAAAAAAAGGTAAAAAGAATAAAACAAGTCATTGACTACCATTCATTTAAGTGACTGGATTGTGCCTAACCTAACCCTAACTCTAACCATAACCAGTCTACTCCTAACCCTAACCTTACCTTAATTCACACCGTACCTCTAAAACTAACAGAGCTCTGTTACATTGTACCAAAGTGGGGACCAGCAAAATGTCCTCACTTTGGTACTAATGTCCTCAGTTTACAGGTATAAAACTTAATAGACGAGCAGACACACACACACACACACGAATCACAATCACTCCTTTTCCTCTGCTTTCATAGACTGAGAGAAAGATTGACATTCATCTAACAACACCAGGTGAAACCCTTCAAGACCAGATGGGGCAACAAACACATGAGCTTAAATAAATCCTGTTATGCCTTGTAAAATAAAAGCTTAGTTTCCTTTTTACTTCCTAAAATAAAACGTCTTGAGTAGTTATATCTGTTTGACACAAAAGTGGCTGATTCTCCTTCAGGATGATAGAAAACCAAACATTTAAATATTTTATGTAACTTATTTCTACAGTAATAGCTCAACTAAAGCTAAAACTAATAATAAAGGTAAATGAAATGTCACATATAAAAGAAGAGTTTTTACTATTTAGATAGTTTTGTTATAAATACTAAACCACAATTTTGTTTATTTTTACTCCAGTCTGGTTAACAATGCTGGTGTCTCGGTAACAAGCATTTCCTAGTATCTAATAATTTCTCACAGCTTTGATAACATGTATTGTTGGGTATTTTTATAATTGTACCTTTTTGAGGCCTAAAAGATGCCAATTTTGTGTTATTGACACTGCATGAATCTCTGTTTTTGCCAACTGTTGTTGTTCATGAAAGGTTGAGCAAGGAGGTTGATTGCAACTGAAACCTCTGTACCTCTGTAACCTGAGAAGGTCCCGCCTTCTCCCCCATCCATTTGTGAATAAAGCCCCTGGGAAACTGAGGAGACTTGTGAGTGACGTGGGGAAGCCTCGGAGGAGGTTCCTCTGCGTTAACTCTCCATATTCTTGGGGACTCAGGGTAAAATGTCTTCCTTGTTGTCATGTGTGTTATTTCAGGTTCCAGGGTTATGGAGATTAAATATTACCTAACATTCTGTTCTCCTGATGGAGAATGCGGGTATGCAGAGCTGGTGAGGTGAAGGCTTTGAGGCTGGAACAGAGGGGGGCTGGTTAGCTCCATGGAGGGGTTTCTGCACCCAGCTCTCGCATGACGATTCATGGACATTACAAATAATCTCTCTCTCTCTCTGTGTGTGTCGTCCTTTAAGGTAATATGGGATAAATCTAAAACTACCTATCAATGTGTGCATGTGTTGGGATACAAAGCTCATCAGATTTATTTTTATTGTTTATGATTTTGTTATTTTCTTAACATTTGAGCATAAATTTTCATAAAAGAATCTGATTATTTTGTTCTCCTCGATGAAGGACACAGATAACCACTGTGTGTAACCTTGCGTTACAGGCTAAGATTAAAACCATCCAATGTTTGACCTGGGATTGGGTCAAGCTCTGTGACTAAAATACTTCTCTACAGAACTCGAAGTACTTGTTCTCTGATTTAATAGGAAAAACCACTTGCATTAAGAATTCATTTGGTATGTCGTTATTTTTGTTCTTTTGGAACAACTGAAGTACATTTTTCATTGTGCACCTCTCCGTCTTTGAAACTAAAGTGAAAATTTCAACATAATTTAAAGTTCTGGGGCATCGTTCATGAAAATGTAAGATTCATATTTAATTTTCTATGCAAGTGTTGGGATTTATAAAGAAAACTTGAAGAGAAAAGATGGGAGACAGACACTGAGCTACAGCCTATAGTGGTCAGCAATGTTTCCCTGACGGTGGCAAATAACAAAGTAATCCCACCTAGTATGAACTCTTGATTTAATACATTATTGCTTAAAGATTTTATCAAATATTTTAAAGAAATGTGGCCTTTATACTAATAATATAATTACCTGCTGGGAAAGTCAGCATTTCTTCTGCGGGGAAAAGAAAGAAAGAAAGAAAGAAAGAAAGAAAGAAAGAAAGAAAGAAAGAAAGAAAGAAAGAAAGAAAGAAAGAAAGAAAGAAAGAAAGAAAGAAAGAAAGAAAGAAAGAAAGAAAGAAAAGAGTCTCTCAAGATAAAAAATCACAAGGACTTTCACAACAACAAAATTTTAAAAATAAAAAGATGGAAAAAGCAGAAATGGTAAATAAAGAGCAGAACAAGGAGTGGGTAGTAATGAAGGTCACACCAAAACCAGCTGGAATAGGTGAGTTTTCAGCTGCTTTTTAAAGGAGACCACTGAGTCCACTGATCTCAGGCTCAGGGGGAGAGAGGTCCAGAGTCTGGGGGGCACAGCAGCAAATGATCTGTCACCTTTGGTCTTTAGCCTGGTGCTGCACAACCAGTACAGGTGCTGGCCAGTAAATTAGAATATCATCAAAAGGTTGAAAATATTTCAGTAATTCCATTCAAAACGTGAAACATGTACATTATATTCATGCAATGCACACAGACCAATGTATTTCCAATGTTCATTACATTTAAATTTGATATTCATAAGTGACAACTAATGAAAACTCCAAATTTGGTATCTCAAAAAATTAGAATATTCTGAAAAGGCTGAATATAGAAGACACCTGCTGCCACTCTAATCAGCTGATTTACTCAAAACACCTGCAAAGGCCTTTAAAAGGTCCCTCAGTCTTGTTTTGAAGGCACCACAATCATGGGGAAGACTTCTGACTTAACAGCTGTCCAAAAGACAATCATTGACACCTTGCACAAGGAGGGCAAGACACAAAAGGTGATTGCTAAAGAAGCTGGCTGTTCGCAGAGCTCTGTGTCCAAGCACATTAACAGACAAGCGAAGGGACGGAAAAAATGTGGTAGAAAAAAGTGTACAAGCTCTAGGGATAACCGCACCCTGCAGAGAATTGTGACGACAAACCCATTCAAAAATGTGGGGGAGATCCACAAAGAGTGGACTGCAGCTGGAGTCAGCGCTTCAAGAACCACCACGAGGAGACTCATGAAAGACATGGGATTCAGGTGTCGCATTCCGTGTGTCAAGCCACTCTTGAACAAGAAACAGCGCAAGAAGCGTCTCGCCTGGGCCAAGGACAAAAAGGACTGGACTGATGCTGAGTGGTCCAAAGTTATGTTTTCTGATGAAAGCAAGTTCTGCATTTCCTTTGGAAATCAAGGACCCAGAGTCTGGAGGAAGAGCGGAGAAGCACAGAATCCACGTTGCATGAGGTCCAGTGTAAAGTTTCCACCGTCAGTGATGGTGTGGGGTGCCATGTCATCTGCCGGTGTTGGCCCACTCTGTTTCCTGAGGTCCAGGGTCAATGCAGCCGTCTACCAGGAAGTTTTAGAGCACTTCATGCTTCCTGCTGCTGACCAACTTTATGGGGATGCAGACTTCACCTTTCAACAGGACTTGGCACCTGCACACAGTGCCAAAACCACCAGCACCTGGTTCAAGGACCATGGTATCCCTGTCCTTGATTGGCCAGCAAACTCGCCTGACCTTAACCCCATAGAAAATCTATGGGGTATTGTGAAGCGGAGGATGCAATACGCTAGACCCAACAATGCAGAGGAGCTGAAGACGACTATCAGAGCAGCCTGGGCTCTCATAACACCTGAGCAGTGCCACAGACTGATCGAGTCCATGCCACGCCGCATTACTGCAGTTATTGAGGCAAAAGGAGCCCCGACTAAGTATTGAGTGCTATACATGCACATTCTTTTCATGTTCATTCTTTTCAGTTGGCCAACATTAGAGAAACAAACATTTTTTCATTGGCCTTTAGAATATTCTAATTTTCTGAGATACCAGATTTGATGTTTTCATTGGTTGTCACCTATAAATATCAAATTTAAATGTAATAAACATCGGAAATACATTGGTCTGTGTGCATTGCATGAATATAATGTACAAGTTTCACGTTTTGAATGGAATTACTGAAATATTTTCAACCTTTTGATGATATTCTAATTTACTGGCCAGCACCTGTAGGCTTTGGTTACTGCACCTCAGGGACCTGCTAGATATCTCATGGGGCTTAAAGGAAATGTACAGTTGGATGTCATGTGCGTAAAGAAGGTGGAATATTCCTTAAAAAGAGTCCAGGATGTGCTGGAGAGGGAGCAGATAAAGGAGGAACAGTAGAAGCCCCAGCACAGAACCTTGTGGGGACACCATGGGCAAGGCAGGAAAGGCAGCAATGAGAAGTTTTAAAAAAAAATTCTCATTGCATAAGAATTAAACAGAAAACAAACATTCATAAATTAGAGGGAATCATTAAGTCTTCCGAGGTCTCTATGCAAGAAGAAATACAGAGCAAAATATATCAAGCTAAACTTAATGAAAATATTGACTAAAACAACTATTTTCAGCACAAAGACTGCAAATAGAAAATGTTGACTATGGTAGTAAATTAAGTAGATCTTTAGCTAACCAGTTGAAAATACAGATGAAACTTGAAAAAGTAGAATATGGTGCAAAAGTTCATTTTTGTCAGTAATTCTACTTAAATGTGAGATAGGTTCATTACATGCAAACCCAGATATTTCAAGCTTTTCTTTGCTATAATTGTGATGATTCTTACAGCTTATGGCAACCCTGCATTCAAAATTGCAAAATGGTTCAATAGTCTAGACATAAAGTATCACACTCTAATCAGCTATGGAGAATCTCAACCGCAAAAAGGCTTCTCTGCCGTGCTCTTCGCTGGACTTGCAAGATCACCAAATCCCTCGAGATTTCAAAAGTCACGGCTTGTTTATGTCATTCACCAATAAACTAAAAAGAAGGAAATCACATTTAATATTGCAGTTTGATGTCATATTTGTTGTTCTTCCCCACTGATTAAAGCCATGAAAAACACTGACACACTTCTCAATGCTGGGAGTAAATATGCCCTTTGGTCACATGTATCTTTGGTTTATGTAATCTACATAAATGTGAAATCAGATTGCTTCAGTAGTCTTTTACTTTGAAAATGATCAGGGGTTTTACATTGAAACCTATGTTAACTGCGAAAATGTGTCCCATAAGCGGCTCACAACAAAAACAGAACCCGATCGTTTCTTTAGAGGCTCAGTGTGGTGAGCTGCTTCTGGGAAGTGCTTCAAAATTTCCGCAGCACGACTGGTATTAAAATAATCCCTATAGACTATAATAGATTTTATTTGAAGCAGTGACATTCCACTGTCGTTGAGTGCCTTTGATGCTTTCAATGTGAAGTATGAGTGAGCCTTTAGATGGTCTCTCAAGTCTAAGTTGGATTACTGACATTAATGAACTTTGTCACTATATTCTAATTTCCCCATTTCCACCTGGACATAAAGAGAGAACAAATAGCCAAGTTTACCTGTGCGCATTTAATTGGATTGAACGCCAAATCAGATAAAAAATTCTGCATGTAAACATGTCAATCGGAGTGTTCTGATCCGATTCGGCCCGACTGAAATGAAATTACAATCCAACTGAGAGAGGTGGTTTTGTCCAATCCTCATTCAGATTGACGCGCATGTACACAGCCATTCAGGTTGTTGGAGTAAAATAATGCCCACTGCGCATGTGTGCAACCGCTAGCGAGCCTCCCCGCCGTCATTTAGACTGCCTGACTTAAAAAATGACGCCTAATTAACAAGTGCCGGCTTTTGAATTTGATGGCAAGCGTTCCCGTTTCAGTATATCTAATCCAGAACTTGCATTTTGTGGAAGTAAAATAAAAATCTGATTATTGCACAAATCATTCGACAAACTTGTCCAAGTCTGTACTGGAAACATGCAGATTCATTGCGGGATTTGCAGCACGGATCCCCGTTTCTGTGAATGCAGCAGCTGTTTCTGCAGCAGGTGGATGGAGACGCGCTCGTAAAGAAGACAGAGTAACGTCGGTTAATCAGAACTGGTTTAAGTTTAAGGAGGCTGATGTTGAGTAGAAAAACATCCTCAGTTAAATATTCTGGGCGACTATCTGTGTAAAAACACGTTAACATAGATGACCTGAGATGCGGTTCGTTTATTAACGCATGATGAATACTGGCTTCCAAACTTCCTGAGCATCTCGTTATTTAGTTTGAACCATTTTTCTCAAAAGTTTCAGCTGATTGATTGATTGCTTCCTCTGAGTTCAGCTTCACCGGCCATGAGATGCCACGCAGGGTCTGCAGGTTAGGTGTCTGAGGTGTGAAGTAATTCTTAAAACAGCTGTTTTGTCTGTAAATCACTCTCAGCGTTGCAGAGAGTCTTTGACTGGAGGTCAAAGGAGATTGTTTCAAAAGAGGCTTCTTTCCCGATTTGGCCGAATCGGGAGTCAGCTGGAAACTGAATCAATCGGGAAGTAATTCTTGTTTTATTAAACCACAATGTTGATAAATTTTGGCAAGTTTGGCAAATGAGAATTTGAATCATTTTGATGGCTTTACCAAACAGTCATCAGAAGACACGCCTTCTTCAGATACAAAGGTGGTAGGCACTTAGTGAATGAGAATGTTTTAACCCTCTCAGGCTCAAAATACGTTTTGATAAAAGGACGAACAACTAAGTCTGTCAGGGGTACTTCTGAGTTTAAAAATGCTCATGAAATACGTATGTGGAGTAACCAGGTAGGCTTTAATGTTGCAAATCTGCAATGCCTGCCTCCAGAGGGTCTAAACACTTATGTGAAGTGAATATTGACATCTTATTGTAATGTGTATGAGTGTAAATATTGATTAACTTGTTAAATCAAACACATACTGATGGTGTAGTTAAGATCTGAACTGGATCATTGTAAGAACAATATTCATTTTAAATTCATTTATTTGAGCACAGATTATTCAAACATTTGATTTAAACATCTTGTTTATTCATCACACATGATTATTTAAATTTATGAGTTGTAAAGTCCTGCAGGAGCTTCAAGTAGGTTCAGTTTTTATTAGGGTGAGGAATCAGCAGACTGGCTTTTATGCAGAGACTGCAGAACCTTTGCAGGA